AAGTTTTTTTGAACAATAAACAGGGCCCTGGTGTGCAGCAGCTGAGTCAGCCTTTTTTAAATTAACAAGGATCTGTTGTGACTCCATCTTTGCCTTGTAAACCCATTACTTGCTGGGAGGAACCTATTTGGAAATGCTGTTAGTAAGATGACTGGGGGATGGCACACTGAAAGTGATCTGACGAGTGAGTCAGTGAGGAACAACAGTGTATTAAAATGTTTTAAAATTCAAAGTGAACCCAGTTTACCCATTTTAAATTAGTTTATTTTAAAAAGGTTCAAAGGGTAAGATATTATTATATTTACTCTCACTACTTTCCTACCAAGGACCACCTGGAACATATACTATAATTTTTGATTCCCCATGCCATACAGGCTTTGAACAGGTTAGCATAATCAGATATTCATCACTAAAATGCATGAATCCCACTAACTGTGAACTTGTTTTATGTTGCAGCTTGTAATGCCACATTGATTTCCTGCTTGCATAGTAGATTGCTTTTGAATGGACGGCACTACGGATGTTTCCTAACGACTGATTTACGCACTACTGAAGTTTTTAAAATGGTGCAACAATGAGTAATAACTAATAACTAGTCTGAAAACAGCTAGTCGTACTTAGTGAGTACTTTCACATACAAACTTAGAGAGGGATTTACGATGCTGTGTATTCTGCCGACCCACACACACTATAAGCTATCTGACAGCTTGCTTCCTCCATCAAATAAAACTATCGACTGCATGTTATTACATTCAGATAAATCCATACTGCACTCCCCTATACTTGCCTTCAAAGTGTGTTTTATCCTTTAGTCTGTCTGTAGGGTATCAAAATCTTTCACAGACACGTTACCTATTCTTTATTTTTCTTGCATCACTTGGGCTTTGGCATTCATCAAAAGATTTCCATCCTTTGGGATTTAGTATTTACTACCACCATTAACACAGTGAACATTGTTCCCTTTCTTTGCTCGTATTAGCTATCTATGTGCATTTCTTGTTTTCTTTTTTGTACATTCAAGCATGTTATATACTCTATAGGCATACACTCGCAAACACACACACACACCTCTGCTTGTGTGTATGTCCTCTGTGCCTGCGGTTTGCCCAATAAGATGGTACTGGTTGAGTCTGGAGCCGTCCTCTGCCACCACCACAGACTTGGCAGCTCCCTGAGTCCAGGTGTAGACCACCTCTGACACCGGATAGGCATCTGGGAGAAAGAAAGAGGACATAAAATGAGCTTGTAAATTTATTCTTTTTAATGTATGCACATGCAGAATGTAAGTTAACGGTTTCAAAAACAATATTTATATCCTTCAACACGGTAGATTTGTAACAAATTACAGTTAGTTTCAACCCTGTCAGCGCTCATGCGTAGCTGCCCATGTGTTTGTGTGTTTATTTGAGTGAGTGCTGGTGCAGAGTCTGTCTAGCACTTTTTGATTAGACTGCAGGCTTAAAGCCAAAACCAGAATTTTGCTTGCATGCCTGTATATATGTGTGTGTGTGTGTGTGTGTGTGTGTGTGGGTGGATATTTGAGTGTATTTTTGTTTAAACCACACTTCTGGGTCAGAGGTGAGCTCCCCTGTCAGCAGGAACCAGACCGAGTCAGATTAACCATAATGTGTTGCATCACTCTTGTGATGAAAAACAGGGGCACAAACTGTGAAGCCTCTCCTGCTACTTCACGCATTCACGCTCGACCCTGAACAAACACTGGACATCGATCCCTCATCTGGCCCCCAGTAAGGACTGAAATCTGCAAAGATGATGAAAATAGCATCTCTTATTCATCTCTCTGATTTTTTTTTTTCCATTTGGATTGGCATGTTTACTGTCGCAGTTTGAGATTCAATCCAAAGGTCTACTTATTAGAGAATCTATGAAATGTATTCGCTGTTGATTGTGATTGATTGTCACCTGTTTTGACGTATTTTCGAAAAGCATTGGCACACACAGAGAAAGAAAATAAAAACCTCCAAGGAAGCAGGCACTAAAAAGCTATTTGTGATCATGTCAAGTGACAGAAGATTTGGGAAGATATTGATGAAAAACAGACTGGATGAGGGGGAAATTGGGAAAATAAATTATCTGCTGAGAGGGAAAATAATGAGAGAGGAGGGCTGCGTCTGCCCACTTACAGTAGATGCTCAATTTCTTTTTTATTTTTATATGTGTTCTCTAAAGGCTACAATTTAACACTAGGGATAAAAAGTAGATCATATTTCTCTGCCATGACAAGCACTACTTTTAAAAAGAAGAAAACAAACTTTTGAAAGTATATGTGCACAGGAGATTTTGTGCAGCCAAATGCACTTTCGTACATTTCTGGAGGTGCAAAGTAGACAGTTATGTATCTTAAATAATATCTATGAATACAACACAGCGTGAGCAAAAACTGCATTCAAACATTCAAATGTTTACAACTCATTTTGCTGATTCTCACAAACACTAACTAAAGCCTTGGTGTTTGCGTAACAGTGTTGCCATTGTTTATTTCTGTCCAGCAGATAACATCTTAACCTGAGCATTTCCATTCTGGGTGCTCACCTGGCAGTGAACAAGGTATGTAGTGTTTAAATTTGGGCACCGGCAGGCTCAAGGCCAGGACCCTAATTGTTGGGGTAGTTAGATTGGAATACGGGATTATTGGTGAATTTCATTACGAAGACGAAGAGCTAAAGACTTTGGCAGGCGAGGCGGTGCACCTGTGCCAACTTCTGAACAGTTCACGCTTAATGCTTTGGTGCTCCCGTCCTATGTGTGAGGGAAGAGGGGAGCCACAACTCGGCCCAACTCGTCACTTACTATACTGTAGCTCTACGCACTCGCAGTGAAAGCTGTCTGAAATAATAAAGGAAATGATTGCAGAGGACCGAAATGTGTTTTCCTGCAACACAAGGATTACAACTAGATTAGTGTGTTATACATGAGTAATGAGAGCTGGGAAATCAAATGTGAAGGATATCATTCAAAAATCAACCAAAACACTGAATACTGACGCGGTGAAAGAGGCAACTAAAACCAAACTAAAATACTTTGTCACAGTTAGAAAAGTTAAACGGATAGTTAAATATAGTTAGAATAGTTTAAAGAAACCAATGTTGACTGTGGACTGTTAGCACATTATAAAGTTACAGTTTGTGGGATTATCAAATCCAAGCTCCCAACTTGTACATCCACTTCCAACGTTATCAGCTCTGTCCTGCTCTTTATGGAATTTGGGGAAGCACTGCATTAGTTTGTCCCCATCCTAAAGCCATATCTTATAACCATATTTCTATATGAAACATACTGTTGGTGTTTCTTTATTTCTTTATGGATCATTGACTGGTGATGATGCAATCTTTGGACACGTAGCTTTAGCCTTAGTCTTTTAGCATGATGACATCTATTTAAGACCCATTTTACAAGATTCTCCTTTTAAAAGCTTAATTAGCAAGCTACAGCTGAATAAATCTGCTAGCAACAGTTGCCAAATCAACAATCAGCAGCTAGAAATTAATAGAAACCTTTTTTTTGTCTACCTCCAACCATTATTTAAAAAAATACTAAGAATTCGCAGTAGTTAATCTGTCACTGTTATTATTACAAACTGCATATGTGCTTTGCAAGAAAGGAAAACAGCAAATAATGGGGGGAGGTTTAGAAAACAGTCAATTACACTCACAACTGCAAAAGGTCACTAGCCAGGAAGGCATAAACACAGGTTGTTGAACCAATGCTGTTGTCTCAAAGCACAGATTTGAAAAAGCCAACTTTATCTGCAGATGGGAGACAGATTCCGAGTTTGTGTGCAGAAAGTATATAACAAGAAGTTGGGCCTTCTTTTGGCTTTAGAATAGCTTCAACCCTCACTTTGATTCTCAGTCCTGAACTGATGTTAGACTGTTGTTAAAGAGGAAATCCTTATCCTGCAGATTCATTGATGTTCCTGTGACGGGGATCAGAGGAGTCAGACTTCTTTCTGCTGTTCATGAACTCTCAGGTTTATTTATAAGAGCAATTTAGACATTCGTATCTCACAATATGAAAGGCTCCAAGAAGGAGAGCAATCATAAAATGATTCACTGGTACATATGTTCAGCGGGATCATTGTGGGTTGAAGGCAAGGCAGGCTGAGAGATGATTCATTAGACCACGTTTTATTGTTTCCCAACAGCTCAGGTGGCCAGGTTTTGTGCACCTCACACAATCATCTGCGTCTTTATGTACTGATTCAGGGAACAAGCAGTCTCTAAAACACCCGCCTCGCTGTAAACACCAGCTTTGCAAAGTTCCAAATGACTCGTCTTTTTTTGGTCACAGAGCTGTCGATTATGGTAATCATGTTGTAATTTCTGAGAAAGTACTTTTATTTAGCAATTGTTCTCTTGTCTGTATGAGCTGGCTTCAACCTGCGACCTTTTACTGGTGCAGATTTTGTGTGATTGTCGTAGTTGCCATGGTTTTCCAGACTGTTTATCACAAAGTTTCACAGCTTCTGTGTCTGATGCGCCAACAATTCCAACACTGGCTACTGTGCCTCTGCAAATTTCTTAGTCACTCCACGTACTGGTTCAGCTCAACTCAACTACTAATGTTTCCAACTCCCAGGATAGCTTGGTAGAATAAGAAAGTGCAGCCCTTCTAGCTGCCATTTGGTTTGTTTTAAGAAAAAGAATTACATCTTGAATCAAATGCCACATATTACTGGGCTCCCCAAATTAGGACACAGGTAGTGTAGGCCAGAATAATAGAATTAGTTGGCCTTTACCTGAAGTGACTTTACTGTCTATCGCGATCCTCATACGAGCTAAGGTTGTGGCCGCGTTCCACGACGAGAACACGCTGGTGGATGTGATGCAGTAAGTTTGGATGTACGCATATTTCCGTTCATTTGGGATGGTTCAAAATGGTGAAGAAGAAAGATATTCTGTGTTAAAATCAATCAATGTTGACCTGTGTCTGACCCACTGAGCTACCCTGCCTTCCTCTCTGAGCAGACCTGGTTGCTCTTTATACTACGTTCATCCTTTGCACCCGTAACTTATTTTAACCAAAACCATGATCTTTTCCTAAACCTAATCAAGTAGTTTTGTTGACCAAACCTTTAAGCAGGTTCTTCAGTACTGTGTTCCCGACAACAGACATACCTTCTTCAAATACATATGACCCAGGACTTGGCTTGTATCTCTGACCGACAAAGCCAAAATGTAATAACTACAAACAGCTAAAGCTAGAGAGCTATAAAGCTGGTGAGATAGCCACAGTTAGCTAAACCTATTGATATTTTCACAAACTGACATCTTGGCAAGTCTTTCAATTTATTATTGCACAAGACTAAATTTGGTAGTAATACAAATCAGGACAGAGGGAAAAATACGCCTGCGAGGTAACAAACATTAGCTTAGCTGAGTATCAATATTCATTAAGCTACCTTGTAAATTAATGTATTATATTCATTTCAATATACATACTCATCGTAGTTTTATTTAATTGAATTATAAGCTATGGACTGTAAAATAAAGTATAGAGATTGCACTTCAGGTATTGGTTCTATGGCAAGGATTTCTGGGTAAAACATAAAATAAAGGCATTATAACCGTTGCCTTGGACTCTTTAAACCCTTTCCTAAACGTCAGTGCTTCTGCAGTCACTGCTCTCTGCCTGTCGCAGTACTGAAATATCAAATCATGACATTCTGGAAAAAGGAGGAGGGGATGGAGAGATTTCTTTTTTTTTTTTTTTACACAGCGGATTAATTTTGCCCATTTCTCATTACACCGGATGTTGTCTCCTTTCATCCCCCACTGATGACAATAGTAAACAGTGGATACAGTCAAAATACTGTTTAGTGTTGTCACAGATTACTGGATAAAGCAATGTTTTTGTCAGGCACTTCGGCCATTTTGTTTATTTTAAGAGGAGGAGACTCTATACTTTTTTTTTGCTGTGCAGATTTAACTATATTATCACGTAATGCTAGTGAAGCACATTAGCTGCAGTGTAATGTGGAGGTTTAGTAGGTACGGCCTTATGCCACATGAGGCCAAAAGCTAAGTGAGGAGGTGATGAGGCCAGATAGAGAGGTCACATTAGTCTCTAACAGGAACAATGAAAGGAAAGATATCCTCACTGGGACACCCCGCCATGTAAAAAGTGTGCAGTGTGGCCATCAACACATTATTCCTATTATACACTTACACCACTCACCTGCAGGGCACTGCACCAGGGCGCTTAGGTTAGTGTTTGCAGTGTTTGCCATGGGAAGGCCAGGCAGCTCCTTGCGCTATAATTGGATTGCGGTCAAAAGTGCTTCTCTTACATAGTGAGTGTGGGTGGACTGCGTCTCAAAGAAATCTGGGGATAAGAGCCTCATCCTTTTAGCCCACGAGGATCCGAAGGTGTGGCACTTGGCCAGATCTTTAAATACCACCGGGGAGCAACTAAGGTTTCTATACGTGTCCTCCCTGGTAGGACACACAGACAAGCTGTCCTGTTAAGAAGGCATTGGGGAGAACCCTTCTGATCACTGGCCTAATTAAGTGTTGGAGAACATGCAGTAATCTTCTGTTCTCTTTTCTATTCTCTTCTCTCAGTGATCGCCACAGTTTTGTAATAGTATAGGAGGACCATAAAGAATCCGTCTGATCAGAGGTCCAACTGTAGAACCACGCTTTACTGCTACCCAGGAACATACCATTTGGATAAAATCCCTTTGCCATACATTTTGATTGACTTAAACTGACTGCGGCTGATACTGTAAAACAACCAGTGATCTGACCCAAGCCGGCTCATAATCCTCTCATGTAGGTCCTCCCCTGAGAACGCTCCTGTAGCTCACTGCTTAGCTTTACTACTGTGTGTTGATCTCAGTCAGTGTACATGTATATACTGACTGTTACAATAGCTTAGCATTACGCTGTAATTGTCGCTTCCGGCCGGAGCAGCTGCTGCTCAGTGAAGGTCACATATTCTCGCCTTAAGTTGACAATCGTGAATTTAATGTAAGGAGAGCAAACTCAGCAACCTCCAGTAGATAATGACTTTCCAACTGACTCTGCATTGTCTAAAGTGATTCCTTATTGTTCTCTAAATCTACTTTAAATGTTTGCATAACTTATTGCACTGGACCGAATGTCAGCATTGTACATCGTAATAGCTGGGATTAGGACAGAAGTGAAGAACAAGATGAATGTAAATGTAAATTTCACTCACAGCTGCCAAACTTGAGAGGGCAGGCGTGCGCATCCATGGGGAAATCCTCCAGCTGCATGGGACATTCTGCTGAGATGGTCAGTCTAAGGCAAAACACATACAATTCGTCAATTAACCCCCTGTAACATAGTGTTACTTTAGCATTCAGTATAGTATCTTATTTTCTTTTACACTCATTATTTAACCTTTAAACATTTCTCTCTCTCATACAGAGCACCGTACAATTACAGGAACAGCATCATTCATCATGCAACCTTCCTTCAATCTTACCATTTAACAATCCTCTAAAAAAGGACATAAACTAAAAAGAGAATGGGGGTGGTAATTTAGAGTCCAGATAATTGCTTTTTGTCAGCATCAGCAAGCAAAATTACCAGTATGTGAGTACAGGTTCATGTAAGTGCAGTATTTCCCTGTCTTAGCCACACTGGTATTACAGTGGCAATGCTTCCCCCTAGTGGCCACAGAGTTTGTTTCATTTGTCTTCCCATGATAAGATAGGGACTCCTCTAAATAGGACAAACTCTCATACAAGTCATTTTTCATTGTGTTCTGCCAACAGCCAATAACCTGATGCAGATTATTCCAATATAATTATATTACATATAATCTTAGCTCTGCCTGCTAATGAAGGTTGCTTAAATCGCTATGGACTTGAAGTCTATCGCCTTGCTTGATTAAGATTCATTCAATCAGTCTATTTAAATCATCCACACACACACACACACACACAAACACACACAATAAGAGCTTTTCAAATCTTATTTTCATTTACAATCATTCAAGACATGGTGTTATCATTTTTAGCTGCCGTGATTGTAGCTCCCAGTGTCCTGAAAGAACCGCAAGATTAAGTAAATCAAGCATACAAATCAAGCATACACACATCATAATTATTCTTTTTCTTTTCTTTTTTCTTTTTTTTTTAGCTATCTGCCCTAGATTGAATCCAGTCCCTCTGGGCATTCTTGCTCATTGCATGATGATAAACAGTAAAACAGTGATATGATGAAGTGGATTCACTGAACTTAATGGGCTGGATGAAGGAGAATTAAGCTATGTGAAAGCCAGTGAACACAAATTTAACATATATTTAGGTTTCTCTGGCACTGGCTTTGTTTTTTTTGCTTTAACCTTTCAGGCATATGAGCAGCCTTATCATCAGCAACAGAATAAGGTGATTTCTTTTCTTTTTCCTTCACAGAACTATATTATAATCTTAATAACGACTGTGTCACCAAGATGTGGTGGAAAAATCCTCTTGGGTCATGTTTTATTATGCTTCAGAACCTCCTGCATGTATATATGTATGTATCTACTCCGGGAGGTTTCCCAATTATATCATTAAATCAAACGAAGCATAACAAAGTGGGATAAGGGGCCAGTTCTGGTCCCTACAGAGTTGACTGTTTTGGGGCTCAGCTTGCTTTCCACATCAGTGCAGGATTATCCAATTGCATTATTGCATCTGAAACAGCTGAAGGATTGTGTACGGAGGAGAGGAAAGAGTGTCTTTGGGATAAATAAATGAGAACATGGCTGTTGGCTATTATACCATGTTCTAATTATTCATGTGGCCTTGTCCCATTAGCAGAGATGCCTGTAAAGATAGTTGCTTTTAATTTAGGGGGTGCTTTGTCCCTCCCTTTAAAGTGTGTATATAATATATTTATACCACTGCAGTTATAATTCAAATATGGGGTATATAGTTATAGCAGTACATACCATATACCAGTGTGGACTGAGTGGAAGGCAGTACATATCGGGGTGTGAAACCCCAGAAACAGACCAGTGTATTGACCGTCACACCTGTGGGAAATCTAAAGTTTCCCCCCCCCAATATGCCTGACCTTGCAGAAAAGTCGAGAGAGAACTTGGACCACAGGACGAAACAGAGGGGGCTGAGTTTTGAGTCCGGGAGCTTTATGCTGTATTAACCACTGAGCCACCATGCTGCACCATCTGTCTTTTTCACACTAACAAGCACATTTTTAACAATCCCCCCCCACTTGTATCACATACAGTTAGTCTTATGGGAGCCAGGATTATATAAAAAGCTAAATAAATGTTAGATAAACTGTTAGAAGTGTCAAAACACAAGAAAGTAAGGTTAAATAAGGATGTGCCATTACACTTACAGATTTTCAGTATGGGAGCATGTTCAAATGATTACATAGGAGACTAAAGGCGATGCTGCAGCTCAACTGTTCCTAATGATAATGGTGTGTAATGCACTCCCCTCTGTTGTAATACAGAGGTTTCAACCAGCTGATGAAGCCGTATATGTTACAACCTATCTGGTACCCGGCTATAATGGGCTGCAAGCGAGCCCGCGTGCATTAAGCCTGCGGAGGGTTGTGAAAAGGGGCATTTTATGAATTATCCATGGAGACAAATGCATAGAAATTTGCTTCATGAAACCAAGCATTCCTCCTCAGAGTAATGGTTTCCAAATGATGCGACGCCACAATCCCATTTAGTTAGAGGAGAGCAGAGAGCGGAGCTTTCAGCGACACCCATACATGATGAATGTCTAGGGGAGAGAGGATGTAATGTTTGGAATATGCACTTGCATGACAGTGTGCCTGTGCTCACTACAGTGCGTGTTTTCAGAGTAGTATCTGTGTTAAATTGTCTGGGTGAATCCTACGGGGATGTGCACATGTGGTGCTCGAACTCCAGATTATACAGGATGCTATGAAAACACATGTGCTCACAGTAAAGTGTTTGTCATATAAATAATGTATATAACTACAGTTCTATTAGAACTTTCTGATCACATTGTAGAGGTTGTGGTTCATCAGGATCATTGATTGGAGGATATACTGGAGTAGTTTAGCTATCTTGTTGTATAAACATAATGTTATGGTAGAGCCATCTTTAACAGCTTAAAAAACACATACAGTACTTAACACTTTTTTTAAATCACCCTGACACGTCTTAATTTTACGATTATGAACATAATTTGGAGCAGATGACATGTTTCAGATGTCCGCTACAGAAAATGACACATTCTTCTCAGTTCAGTTCCGTTTGGAGCCTCAAAGCCTGTAAACTGTGGTTAAATACAATGGAAATTAATATGCTCTGTCTGTGCTCTATGCTCGGATTATGATTGCTGTTGACAAATAAGTCTGTTTAGATTTATGCTATTGGAGTCAGTTTAATAAAGATCTAACAATCTCTGGGGACTAATTGACCGCAACAAAAGTAATGTCACCATGTAGGATAACATACTGTACATTTCTTTGTCTGTGAATGAGGTTTGGGGAAACAAAAGTGATATATTTGTTGACGCTCACAGTCTTTTATGGTCTCTATTGTGTCACGGTCATCAAAAGTGTTTGTGGTAAAGGGAAGACTTACCACTCCAGTACTGTTCTACACATTCCCACATTATAGGTCTATAACATACTGAATAATATATAGTGCGAATGCTGCTGTGGAGTTAGCTGTAACCTGCAAGTACCCAGATGGCCTGTGTGTGTACAGCATGTGTGTGCGCGAGTGTGTGTTTATGCAGCGAACAGAATCAGTGCTGCCTGTGGTTAAGCTCCGCTGGTAATGACAAGCACAGTACTGTAACAATTAGACGATTAAAAGCAACCTACTGCTACAACTGTGGCAAAGTATGGGAGCACAGTCTCTCTCTCTCTCTCTCTCTCTCTCTCACACACGTGTACATTTTTTGCATACAGATATAAATACATGTATGCATAGATTTCCATAATATCACACATATGGAAATGAACACACACACGCTTTTTACGCAATCCGTTACATGTTAATATAACTTCCCTCTGGGATTATTAAAGTATTTCTGATTCTGATTCTGATTCTGGTTAAGCCCAGAGGTCAGAGTTGAGTGTCACTACAACTGATTAGTGCAGAAAACTGGCAGTTTGTGCTCGTGTGTGCATGTGTGTGTGGTTTGTGTGACAAAGACGTGACTATAAATAAGCACTTCTTTGGATATGTATATATGTCAGGGTGGTTGCATATGGATAATCTGTCCTCCATCCAGCATTATTCTCCCTGTGGGTGGCACTGGTATCAGATAGAGTGCTCTCATCCGTGATACAGTCACTCTTAAGTCCTGCGGCTACAGTAACTCCTGAGGATAAGCACAGCATTATTCTAATTCTCTGGTGCAAAGGTCACAGTGAGGCCTGTTGGTTACGCTGCCATTCCACTGAACAACAAAAAAAAAACTATTTGTCTGTCAGAAGACTCATTTCAACTTTTGAGCTGAGAATTTGATATATTTCTGTTTTTCTGTGTAAATACTGGTGGTTCTGTTTATAGTAATCACCATCTGGTTGTTGGCCTGTTTCTAATTTGCCACCACATTACTGCCAAAAACTATAGTTCACAATGAGGCTGCTTTTCATAATGGATGATCTCCGTCTGCAGTTTTTCTCAAAACCCTACATTTAAAGAGACACTTCACGCTGCTATTTATATTTCATTGCGTCTCAACTCAGAGTTAAAAACAAAACTAACTAATAGAACTTGACGAAATACGAGCATTTGAAGAAATACTTGCAGTATTTGCAGTTTACTTTGTAAACTCACAGTAATATGGGCTTGTCCAGGACAAATCAAGTGCCTCTGACTGGCCACTGGGTGACACTATTCTCCTGCAGTACAGTCTGAGTCACATGCTGGGGGTTTCTATCACTGGATTTTCAGTGCAAAGCAGTATTGTGTATTATGCTGGCCTTTCAAGTGGTTTCCTTTATCTTCATGCACTAGGTCAGACTCAATACTGTCATAGAAACACTGCACCTTGAACCTCTGTACTGCGATGCCAGCTGCACCTCTCTATGACTAGCAGCACATTTTAAAGTAATGACATTTCTAAATGCGACAAGTGCCACCAGCCTTGGTCACCAGAGGGCTTTATAATTAGGGTTGTTATGAAGCAAAGCACTCAACCGCAGTTTATTATTCAGTGTCTTTAAACTGGAGGAAGCAAAATAAAACACCTGTTTGTGCGAGTTAATCTCAGAAGACGACATCTGCGTTATGACCCACCTCATAGTGTAAAGCAAAGTGCCGTCGTCCTTCAGCCTCAGCAGCTTGTTGGGCGTTGTCATGTTGTGAGCGATAGACTTCTTGCCGTTCAGGAAGAAGGTATCGGGGGTCCAGATGTTGCTGGCCAGGAGGTTGTTTAGCGGCAGCATCTCCATGGGCCCTTTGAAGCACAGACGCTCGTCCTTCCAGCTCTGACGGAAGAACACGTCTATGGTGTACTCCTGAGACAAAAAGCAGAAGAGGGCTTTCAGAGAGCTCTGCTGGAAAAAGGCAAGACACCATTTTTGAGCATTTAGCACAAACTAGTAGTGAGAGGTAACCGTTTGGACCCAGAAGCCATGTAATGTTGGTGTCAGTAAACTGCACTCTGCTTGCATGTTTACCAATCTGTCTGCTGTGATCATTTTATCCCAAAAGATTTTGAAGGGATGCCAAAGGCGAAAGATCTCACTCTGGATGGAGTGTTCGCTGCGTTTAAGAGATGGTTGTCTGTTTCACTCTTAAGCTTCAAAACATCATTTTCTGTGGTGTGTCTTTACCCAAAACAAGAACTTAAAGTTAGATATGGTCTCTGTTTCTGTTTCTTGAGTCACTTTCTTGTTTAGACTGATAAGTTTAGGCTACTTTTACGCATTATTCTTCCCTAATGGAAATTTAAATGTTGTTTTTTTTGGCATTTTCTTGTCACGTTACACAGAAAATTAACAAATTGAGACAGGAAAGCTAAATTAACTCGCTTCTTTGCAGTCAGTTCTCATCGGCACATCAAACATTGCTCTTACTATAACAGTAGCTCTTCCTTTACGCCTTCATGTATCCACTAAGATTTCACCGATCAAACATCGCAGTGTAGAAATCCATCATAAATTTGCTTGTGTGTGAAATATTGACGTGCTTAGAGTGCAAAAAAACTAATGAACAAGAAACAAATACAATACTCCATCCCACAGAATAATGACGCTGTTAGCACCGTGACATATAAGCTTTTATGGACCGCAAAACCATTCAAGTCTCTTGCCACATTTCATTAATCAATCCCGCGGCCCTGTCAATACCTTTTTCAAGTCAGTTATAGGAAAGTGGCAAGTTTGATCACTACTGTGTCAAAGTGTGCCAGGGTGTAATAGAAGATTTAATGAAAGAGACGATTTAATGCATTTTGCCATCCAGGTGGAACCTCATAGTTCATAAGGGAAGGGATTAAAAAAAGGGATGAATCATTTGGAACGAGTTGGAATGGGCCAGCCACATCGCATTAAATCTTAAAAGTTTAAGTCGTCCACATTCATTTTGTCTCATTCACAAGGAAAAAAAGGGCCAGTCTTCAAAGACACAACTAGGACATGAGTGTAATGGAACGGCAGGAGCAGCGGTGCCAGTCTCATGAAATGTAAATATATGTTTAGATGTAAAAATACCTACAGTAGTCTGGATAGGCTTCGGAGATGTGTACGTGCGTGCGTTTGTCCGGCTCTGTGTATCTATAGTGTTTGCTGCAGATGAACTCACCATCTCTGTGTCGGACACCGGGCCAAAGCTGGTGACAAAAATATTTGTCTTGATCTCTGTGACGTTCTCTGTGGAGAGAGAACAGTTGAGAATGTTTGAGGGTGAGGAGAGGCGATAAGAAGGCAATAAAAGGCGTTATAAATGAACTGCATTGTAATTGGACCCATAAAAGGCTGATATGCGGGGGTTTCTTTAATATTATCCATCTTCAAGTCAATGTTCTTCACTGACCACAGCCATAGAAAATAAAATACATTTTCTGTATATATCTTGTACTTGAACTGCTCAGTGGTGTTTTTTCTAGGGCTGCAACTACAGATTATTTTCATTATTGATAAACCCAACTATTTTCTGGAGTCCGACACAACGACCCGAAGATATTTCATTTATAATGATGTAAAAAAAGACAACTCGATTATCAACATTTTCTGTCCTAAGAGACTGCAATAAAATCAATGTTCAGTATCTTTTTTTTGGTTAGTTAAATGGCAGAATTGACAGAAAATCCACATATTTCCACAATTCCTCTCACAGTGCATTTCTTCTAAAGATGATGTGGGAAAGGGTCGAACATTATTTCTGTCATTTGTACCAGCAAAGCCAACAAAATCTCCTCTGTGCATATAAATTTGGTGCTGGCGAGCTGGGATTGGTCGTGCTGTGGAGAGCAGCTTGTTGAATGCTGAATGAAGGCCTGAATGTTTTTCTGGTATGTATTTATAGGCCCTCTTGTCAAGGGTAGCAACCGTTACCAGGATGTGAGAGCAGGCTTTTGCCATGACACATCAGCCATTCGGCACAAAAAAAAGAGCCTCGTTTCTTCCTACAGTGGGTAGGAAGTAGTGTACGTACGTTGGAAACAAAGTGAAATAAGGACCAATGTCATGAGGACAAAGAAAAAAAAAGAGCTGGTTGGAAATCAGCGGAATAAACGCACTAAGTGGCACGCCATTAGTGAAAGAGGTGTGGAAGGAGTCGGGGATGGCGAGAAATGAAAAGCTTTCAATTCAACAGTCCCTTAGAAAAAGGAAATATCCATCTTTGAATGGCAATTTGTCAGCTCTCAAGGTTGTCGCCTGTTGCCAGGGTGAAGAGCGTGAATAAAACACCACAGCACACTGAATCCAGACCGTGCTGAAGATGGCTTGATTGATTTACTTTCCCTATGTTGGTGTACAACAAAATACCCATGCGTCCACGTCCCTGTCCCCAGTTTAGAAGGGACTCTGGGAGGCTCTAAAGTGGCATTTTGATATTCGAATGCAAGATTACTGCCTTGGTTTTTGCATGAGGGAGCTCTGACTGTCGCATTTGCATTGTTTAGAAAAGAAATAAAAAAAAAAGTGGCCCCAGCAAACCTCCAAGCCCCGGCCGGAGCCTGTTGTCGTAACCGTCCAGGAGCCCGTCCAGGATCCTGGTGAAGACTGTGCTGTTGTCGTTGGCGGTCGCCTCCTTCTGAGCCTCTGAGGACAGGCAGAAACTAGGAGAGGAAACAAGGAAGCAAGGGTGAAGAGACTCCGAGGAGGAACAACGTCCTAAAAACTGCAGGACGTCAAACATGACACAGTTATTGTGATTAATTAGCTCGCAGCGTCAGGGACAGGCTTGTTGCGATTAATTATTGAATGCAAGTTCTGCTTACAACTACCAGTGGAGACAATTAAGGCTTTGACATGTGATCCAAATATAAACAAATGAGTTCCCTCCAAATATGGCAAGTCTTCATCCTCAATGTCTTGAGGATGAGCACATCCTCTGGAAAATGAGTAAAATGACCACCCTTCTTCTCTCTCTTTTTTTAATTTTTTTTTTTTTGTTTTACAAAGAACACTGTGTTCGTGTGCTGGAATTACCAGGGACGCACATGGAAGACAAGGTTACAAAGCCGGGGTTTGAACATCTAAAAGCAATTGATCTACTTAGATGAGAGTGGACTATTCCGGTGATTTACTGACAGCATCGCCAAAGATCTTCTTTTTTTTTTTTTTGGTGCTTTTCTTGAGTGCAGGACAGCCACTTAAGCGGCGCTGCAGCAGAGTGCGGCTCGGATATGCGATCAATCACAGACAGGAGGGCAGAGCTGGCAGGAATCCTCTGCAAACATACATCTGAATATCCAAGAGTTGTTATTCACCAAACTGCAGATGGAGCGATCAGAATGTGTGACAGCAACTGCTGAATGCAACAGAATATTCAACTTATGAATGAATACCGTTAAGCCAATGGCAACTTTGACATATGTTCCTCCTG